TTTTGACTTTCACCACGTCCTCCTCATTGATACTGTTGTTTTAATGCTGTCTCTTTTTAAGACCCACTTAATATTACTATTTTATACAATGTTTAATTTATCTAATTTTTTGTCTTTTCTTTATTCTCAAATCTACAATCTGAAATCCTCTTCATTATTCTTGAAATGCTGTATGTTCTACATGTTCCTTTGATGAAGTTCTCTTGGTGATAATTCTTTTTTTAATCTGGAAATATATTTATTTTGCTCTCATTCTAGTAAGATTGGTTTTTTTTCTATACATAGTTGTAAGTTGACAGTTTGTTGTATTTCTTAAGATTTGAAAATAAAATTGTACTTTTTCTGGCTCGTGTTATTGCTATTAAAAGTGTTACCTGTTTAAAGTCATTTCTTTTAGGGAATCTATCTTTTCTCTCTAACCTTTCTTTATTTTTGGTGTTTTACAGTCTTGTTGCAATGTGATTTTTTTTTCCTGCTTGGTTCATTTTGTCTTTCTTTCAATTTTTTTTGAGGAACATATTAAATTTCTTTACTAAAACAGTGCTGCCCACCTCATTGGTTATCCTGAAGAGTAAATGAGATATGTCATGTAAAGCATAGTATCTAGAATGTGATAAAGACTCCATGAGTGTTATTAATTGATGCCTTTATTATTAACATTTGCATTATTGTGAATTCATATCCTTCAATTCTAGAAAATTCCCAGCCATTTTAAATGATTGCTGCTTCTTCATTTTCTCAACTCTGTCATTTTGGGATTCCCAAATACTAAGTTTAGACCTCAGTTTTTCTTCAGGTTCTCTTTCTCTCTTTTTTCTTTTTGGTAAAATATACATGACAGCCCTGACTAGTGCGGCTTGATGGGTTACACGTCATCCTGCCAGAACCAAAGGTCGCTGGTTCAATTCCAGGCAGGGCACATACCTCAGTTGTGGGTTACTTCCATGTTGGGGCATGAATGAGAGGCAACTCATTGATGTTTCTCTGTCACGTAGATGTTTCTCTCCCTTTCTTTCTCCCTCCCTTACCCTCTCCAAATAAAGAAAGAAGCAAACATACTCTAAAATTTACCACTTTGGCCATTTTTAAGGACAGTTAAATGGCATTAAATATATTCACACTGTTGTGAGCATATTTCTACAGTCCATCTCCAGAACTTTTTTATCTTCCCAAACCGAAACTCTACTCGTTAAATATGTCATTATTTGCCCCTCCCCTGGCCCCTGGCAACCATTATTCTTCTTTATGTCTGTATGAATTTGATTTCTCTAAGTATCTCATATACAGTATCTGTCCTTTTGTGATTGGCTCCTTTCACTTAGCATAATGTCACTAAGCTTCAATCGTACAGTGTCAGAATTTCCTTCCTTAAAAAAATTTTTTAATACTCCTAATATAAAATTTGCCATCTTAACCACTTTTAAGTGTCAAGTTCAGTAGTATTAAATACATTCATATTGTGTAGCCAATCTCCAGAACTCTTTATCTTGTAAAACTGAGACTTTATACCCAGTTCTGAGCTGTTTCTACTCAACACTCTGACACCAAATTTGTTGAGGGATGGGGGCAAGATTTCCCCACACCAACCGATTCTCAAACTTTCAAGATAGTAAGCCTAGGGCTCCCATGAACCCCACCTCTGATTCAATAGTTTTGCTAGAATGGTGTACTAAATTCTGGAAAGTACTTGCTATTTTCACTTTTTATAAAGGATACATCTCAGGAACCGCCAAATAGAAGAGAGATGCATAGGGCAAGGTATAAGGCAAGGGGCACACCACCCTTCCAGCACCTCTGCATATTCACCTGAGAGCTCTCTGAACCCCATAGTTTAAGGTTTGGTGTTGATGTTTCACTTTGTTGGCATGATTGGTTATCATTGGCTCTTAGTGACTAACTCCCCTACCTAGAGGTCAAGAGTAGGACTAAAAGTTCCAGCCCTCTAATCATGCCTTGGTCTTTCTGGCAGCCAGTCGCCTCATTAGCATAAAAAAGACATTCTTAGCACTCAGGGGGTTGTACATGTTTCAGGAGCCATGTGTCAGAAACCAGGAACAAAGACCAAATGTACCTTTTTTATCCTCACCTGAGGATATGTTTATTGATTTTTTAGAGAGGGGAAGGGAGAAAGAAAAAAAATCGATGTGAGAGACACTGGGTATCAAACCTGCAACCTACATATAAGCCCTAACTGCAATCGAACCCACAACCTTTTGGTGTATGGGGCATCGCTCCAACCACTGAGCCAGCCTGCCAGGGCCCAAATGTGTGTTTCTTATTGTATCACCCATTAAACCATAACTCCTAATTTCCCCCTTCTCCTAGCTCATGGCAACCACCATTCTACAATACTTTCTGAATTTGTCTAGGTGCTGTCATAAATGGAATATAACAGTATTCTTTTTGTGACTGGCTTGTTTTATTTAGCATAGTATCTTTAAGAATCATCTGTGCTGTGCATGTGTCTGAATTTCCTTCATTTTTAAGGTTGAATAAGTATCCCATTGTATGTGTATGAACATTTTATTTATTCATCCATTGTTGAACACTTCAGTGGCTTCTACCTCTTGGCTGTTGGGAATAATGCTTCTGTGAACATGGATGTACAAATACCCGTTCAGATCTTTATTTTCCAAGGGTTAAATATGCTAGCCTCATGTTCAGCTCTCGGCTTGGTCTTAGAACTGGTTGAGGCATTTGTCTTCAAGCTCCCTCACCTTTTGTGGGTTTTCTTACTGATCACTGCTCCTCCTCACTCTAAGTGTTTCAATTTTAATTATTTATGGTCCTTGGAGATTCTCCTGTTTTACCGAGCCCAGCAGTGCTATAAAAATTGTTAGTTGTAATTTATCCAGGATCTAGTGTTATTTGGATAGGAGTGCTCCTCAAGATACCTACCTATTCAACAATACTGCCAGAAGTGCCTATTAAACTTTGAAACATATATGATATCTATATATAATGGAATACTACATAGCCATAAAAAGTGATGAGATATTGCTCTTTCGGACAACACGAATCAATCTTGAGAGAGTATCAAGCTAAGTGAAGTAAGCCGGAGGGACAAAGACAGGAATTATATGGTTTTATTCACATGTGGGATATAAAACAGAAAGCAACAAACTCATATATAACAAACATTATGGAGATTACCAGAGAGGAATGAGGTAGGAGAAAGAAGAGGAGATAAAAAGGTTCAAATATATGATGACAGAAATAGACTAGATTCTGGGTGTGAGTATACGATGTAATATACAGATGTTGTATTACAGAATTATACACCTGAAACTTACATAATGTTATTAACCAATGTCATCCCATATAAATTTTCATTAAAAAAATATGTGTATGATACCATTTTTTATGGCCCAAAAATAAAATTTAGGGAGATTGTCATTTTCACTTTTCTGTGTAGTGATAGATCTGTATTGTGTGCATGCATGTGGTTTTGGGGTATTTAACTTTCAAGTTATTTTGCATGTTAAGTAATATTCAGTGGGTGAATGTTGGGGAACAGCCTGAATCTCTCAACCTTGCTTGTTCACTCCCAGCTGTTTTTCAAAGACAAATAAATTATTAGTTGAAAAACCTTTTTAATTAAGTATATCAAATATAATGTTCCTTTAGTTGCTTAATATCTACCAGTTGTGAAATACCTTTAATAATATATAATCTATTGAGTATAGGTATAAAATTGTCTTAGATTTTTCCTCTGACTCTTTCTCTTGCCAAAATTACTGAATTAAGGAAAACTCAAATAAAAGCACTGTGACATCCAGCAATTTTACCAAGAAAGATGTGCCACTAAATCTCTAACCAGAATGGTCTCTATGCCACATAGTTCTTTTGTAACTTTGCATGTTTAGATTCTCACAATGGCTGCCATAGGACAGGAATGTTAGGCATGCAAATAACTAATGTCATCAATGAAGAACAAAAGTATACTGATCTGAGTTTGCAGGGGAGTAGAGTTTAAAAAAACAAAACAGCTTTTTCATGTTAACTTGCATCTGCCTTAGTTGCAAGTAATATTCTGAATTAAATACTAAGGGCAATATTGAAAAGCATGGAAGGAAGGGGAAAATGTGAAAGAGCTGAGAGTGAGGATTAAGAGGGTAAGACAGGGATATGAAACTGTAGTTGGACAGATATACTGTAGTAAAGTTATTGATTTGTAATGACAGATTTTATTAATGTCTGAAGAAAAAGGAGATACACATAAGACATGCTTATTACTAAGGGCTTTTGTGATATAAAATACATTCTACAAGGATCAGGTTAGGTTCATTGACAAAAACAAATACCTTAGAAGATAGTGCCTCTGTAGTTTAAAAATTGTAAACCCTACCCCCACCCAAAACTGCTATGTTCCTTTGAGTTATCTACATGTTATCACAAGGCAAGTGTTGGGTAAAGCTGTGAGTTTTATTTCCTTCCTGGTTACATTTCCTGGTAAGTTAGTATTTTGAACAGGGTTTGGAGAAAAGAAAAATGCTCCATGTTTGAATTAGTTAAAACATTTATCTCTTTTTTTTTTGGTTGTAGATTAGAATGACATGTAGGATAACTACGTTAATTCTTTGTGCTTAGCTTTAATATTTTTAGGATATTAAACTTATTCCTAATTATTCATATAACTACTTTTATGGCAGTAAAGTGTTTTGAAATTTTCATTTGGCTTTATTTCCTTGACAGTTTCTTAAATAGCATACAAAATATGTCTTCTATTTAATTTTAAATTTTAATACAATTGCTAATTTTAGTATTATTAAATATCGGTATTTTCAGAAATTAAACATAAAAGAATTGTTATGAAAAATAAGAGATTACATCCAGTGAAGAATATACAATACACCTGGATTGTTAAAACTTTGGTTAATGAAATGAAGCTATATTTGAAATGCATAATTATTTAGCCACATGTAACTAAATTATTTCTGTTAGATTATTAAAGAAAGAAGTACAATGAAAATGAATTTCTCTTGGTTTTTCTTTTCTAGCAAAGTTTAAGAGCTTGCATTGACCAAGTAAAAAAGTATCCAGAATTCTATACTCTCCATGAAGTCACCAGCTTAATGGGATTCTTCCCATTCAGAATAGAAATGGGATTAAAACTAGAAAAAACTCTTCTTGCATTGGTAAGATTTACCATATGAAAGTGTATACTTATTTTTGTTTGAAACATCATCTGTATTTCACGTAGACAACATTTGTGTTTAAATTTTGAACAATAATGAGATACCACTTTTAAAATATGCAGTATAAATGTGTCCTTTTTTAAATGGATTCCAGTACTTGATGTTTTTAAAAATGTCGCTACCCACTTTATTTCTTGATTTTGTTAGTGCCCATCTTAATGTTACTGAATATAAGCAAGAAGTCATATTTTTAAAGGAATTTTATGCACAATCATGGAAGTGTGGTGAAGAGGATAATTTAGTTTCTACTATACTCTGTGATCATTTGTACCTCACAGTATGAGGTAAAAGTTTAAAGCAGCAGGAAAATTCTATGGCACCCATGTCTTTGGCCCTTTATATATACATATATAGTGGTTGTCAAGCAAGACAACATGAAAGTCAACTTAAGACTCTAAATTTGACATTTTCATTTAGTAGAATGAAGAATTTTAACTTCAAAGTTTCTTACGATGAAAGGATACTCAGAAAAAATGCATCAAGATTTTTGCAATAAATGTTTTTTTTTTTCTTATTTAGGGTAGCGTGAAATACGTGAAAACAGTGTTTCCCTCAATGCCTGCAAAGCTACAGCTCTCAAAAGATAACACATCTGCCTCTGAGACACCAGAACAAACAGCTGCAGCTATGCATTATGTAAGGACGAAGGCGGTTTGGGGTCTTTAAGTAATCTTCTGTACATATAATCTGATTATTCTGAAGTTCTCTTCCTGAATTTCTTCAGTTCTTTTTATTACTTCATTAAAGAAGTTTCCACGGGGTTGGAGCCGGGAGGGGATAAGTGGACAAAATGGTAATGGGAAAAAATAGACAATACAAAGTTAATTTAAAAAAAGAAATTTCCAATAGGCATAATGAAATAACAAGTCTTATGTTGTTTTCCAGGATATTAGTAAAGATCCAAATGCAGAGAAGCTTGTTTCCAGATATCATCCTCAGATAGCCCTAACTAGTCAATCATTATTTGCCTTATTAAATAATCATGGACCAGACTACAAGGAACAGTGGGAAATTCCAGTGTCTGTTCAAGTAATACCTGTTGCAGGTTTGTGATTTGCCATGTCAGGTAATGCTCTTAGCAGAGGAGTTGTGATGGTTCTATTTCAGCAGTCTAATTATAGTCAGTTATCAAATACAAAAATACAAGTTTTGATTTAAGGAGGATGTAAGTTTGACATTTACATTCAATGGAACTTTTTTAAAATAGATGGTGCTACCATAGAATTGACACCCAGAGATAAATGAGTTATTACATCTACAGAACCTGTATTTGTGTTAGGACTAAGAGGTGTTAAAGAAATAATTATGGTTTAGTGTGACCAAAAATACATGATATGGTTAGGTTCTTTATCTTTCAATGAAATGAAAGATAATTGAAAGCCTCAAATGGGCGGGTGAGTTTATTAGGCAGCCTCAAATGGGTGGGTGAGTTTCCAGGACTTACTTACTTGTCTGTTACTGGAATTCAGAATTAAAATAGGTCTATACTTATGAACATAAGTTAGTCTATTGAAAGTAAAATTATATTTGCATATAAATTCCTCTGTACAAAAGATTATTCCCTCCCTGGCTGGTGTAGCTCAATAGATTGAGCTCGGGCTGCAAACCAAAGAGTTGCTGTTTTGATTCCCAGTCAGGGCACATGGCTGGGTTGTGGGCCAGGTCCCCTGTGGGGACCACGTGAGAGGCAACCACACATTGATTTTTCTCTCCCTCTCTTTCACCCTCCTTTCCTCCCTCCCTTCCCCTCTTTCTAGAAATAAATAAACCTTAAAAAAAGGATTATTCCCTTTCTGTTTTGGTTCATATTTAATAATTTTTTCTTATTACCCAGAAGTACTATTATGATTATATGTAACAACATAATTCTGTAAATTAGGACTGTGTCTAATGAAACAAAACTACAAATTAGAATTAAATGTAATATATTCTCTGTGGTAAAAATTGTATCACCTTTTGAAAGCATAACCCTGTAAGAACTGAGTATTAATGATGGTGAAAGTATAACAATAAAAGCAGAAATCCTTTTTGAAAATTGTTAGAAAGAAAACATTTTTCTTGCCAGTTTTATTCTCTGGTCCTCAGATCTCTAAGGAACTTTAAAGGTTTTCTAGTTCAAGGTTGGCAAATATATGGGACTTGTGCTCCCACTTTCCTATCTTATGTCTCTTTGTTTAGTGATCCTTCTGTCATACATCCTGGGTTTTTTTCTTAAATTAACTACTAGAAACTGACCACCCTCTTCTGTTTCTGTTTTAAGGTTCAAAACCAGTTAAAGTAATTTATATTAATTCACCACTTCCCCAAAAGAAACTGACAATGAGAGAGAGAAATCAAATCTTCCATGAAGTTCCATTAAAATTCATGATGTCCAAAAATACATCTGTTCCAGTCTCTGCAGTATTTATGGACAAACCAGAAGACTATATACCTGAAATGGATGTATGTAATGGTTTTTATTTCTTAAGGGAATGTATTTGTTTATTCTGTCGAAGCCTAAAGTTTTATTATAGGTCTCTAAATCTGTAGATAAAAATTCGAAACTTAAAATTGAACCCCAGGTCAAGCTAGTCTTTTGGCAAGTAACTTAACTTCCCTTAGCCTCAGTTTTTTTCCCTATTTAAAAAAAAAGTGATTAATACCTACTTCACAAGATTGCTGTAAGCATTAAGTTTGACATTACATGTAAAATGCTGAGCACAGTCTTTAGTATACACGTAGTAAAAACTCAGTCAATGACGGTGGTAATTGTGGTGAAGTTGTATTTAATTATTTGTATTTATATTTAAGGTTTGTGTTTTTTTTAAGTATGAAAAGAAACAGATAAATTTGATACAGAAAGTATTTGGTCAGATTGTTAATTCTTTTCAGTATGCTTAACTGTGTGACCCTAAGCCAGCTATATAACTTCTGTGTCTACTATGCTTATCTGTAAAATGGGTATCATGATATTATTTAAGTCATGGGAATATTTGGAATTAGATGAGTTAATACATGTAAAGCATTTGGAACAATGTGTGGCACTCCATAAATAGTAGCTTTTATTATTTTGTGTATTTTAAAACATTTTCCCATGATTATTAAAGTGAGACATTTTGTTTATACCAAACTTTCTTCATTTGTTCTACAACTGTTTATTGATAATACTGTTCTATACTGCACTGAGGATACAGCAGTGAATATAAGTAAAGTCTCTTTTCTTTTGGAGCTTTCATCAGTGGTGGAGGGCACAGATAATTAACAAAATAATAGCAAAAAAAGCAGATAGTAATAAATGCTATGCAGAAAAATAGAGTAGGTTGAGGCAAGGAGGTAGAAATGGGAATATTTCGAGAGATTTATGGTCAAGAAGGCTTTTCCAAGGACAGGAAATATGAACAGAGACATGAATAAAGTGAGAGAGAAAACAAATTTAGAAAATAAAATAGAAAAACATTTTTTATTACTGCCTAAGAAAGAGCTCATACTATCTTAAGGATACTACCCTTTTGTGTTTTATATTTGTTTATATGTTTTTCTCTGTTTGCCACTTGTCTTTTAATATTTTCATAATGTATATGTTCATAGAACACTTCCAACTTTTCTTAAATTTTTTTGTTTTACATTTTGAAATCTACCTAAAACTTATATTAATGTGAGGAAATGTCAGGAAGTAACAAGTACTATGAAGAAACATGAAATAGGTTAAAAAGGATGAAAACTGACAGAGTAACTCCTTTCATTAATGACAGACCACATTATTTGGATCTTTCTCATTACTGCTGACAACTAAAGCTGAACAAAATAAAGAAATTCTTTCTTAAAGTCATCAAAGAGCTAACAAGATAGTGAGGAATTACAGGGCTGAGATATCAGAGAAGACCAGAAACCAGGGAGGTACTGCTGTCACTTAGTGTTTTTTTTATTATTATTTTAATTTTTTATTTTTGCCCTGGGTAGTATTGGCCAGTTCTGAAGAGGCCACAGAAAATGAACTGTGGTTTTGGCAGCATGACAAGACTAGGGAGACAAAAATCACTGTTCAGTTTTTCATCAAAGGTGTGGACCCTGCAGGGCAACACCCCAAAAGTAAGGGTGAACCAGAAACAAATCAGCTTTCTCAGAAGTTGTAGCTTGAGTTTGGACTTGAACTTGGATTCAGATGCCTTTAGATTACTAGTGTCTGTAGACATGTAGCAAAAGCAAATGAAAATAATTCTTAGAGGAACATCACATAATTTTGAGCCTCAAATTGTTTCTGTGAATTACTTTTAAAACTACAGGATAATTTTTTAACTTTTTTTAATCCTCACCTGAGGACATGTTTTATTGATTTGAGAGAGAGAAGATAGGGAAAAAGAGGGAAACATCAATCAGTTGCCTCCTGTACATATCCCACCCAGGGACTGAGCCTGTAACCCAGGCATGTGCCCTAATCAGGAATCAAACCCTCAGACTTTTGGTGCAAGCGATAATGCTCCAACCAACTGAGCCACCCAGCCAGGGCTAAAATATAGCATATTTTAAAATAAGTTCTTAAAATATAGATAACTAGAAATAGGAGGAGATCATGCAGATACTATGAGCTAGAGCCATCAGAAACAATGACCAAAGAAACAGACTCACATGAATGGATCTTAGAATTATCTGTCAAAAGCTATTAGCCAACTCTGTTAAATTATACAGTACTCAACGATATTAATGCTTAAAAATTTCAGTGAGGAACCGGAAACTTTTAAAAGCCAATCACATTTGAAAAAGAACTAAGTAAAAATTTTAAAACTGAAAATATGATAAGTACAGTTAAGGGGAAAGAAAGAGACAATTGTACTTGAACAACAAGAAAAAAAATAAAAATTCTGTAAATGGGGTCATTAAAGCACTTTAGATAATGCTGAGAAGAGAAGCAATAAACTGAAAGATGTGTCTGAAAAGACTGTCTGTGATGTGACACAGACAATAAAGAGAGGTGAGAATATGGTGAGAATGTTCAGCGTGTGTAGCTGCACCCAGAAAGGTGGTGTGAGAGAGAGATTGGGACCAAGTCAGTACTTGGAGACAAAGAGAAAACTCTTAAAAGCCATCAGAGAAATAAAAGGACTGAGAGTTAGACAGACAAATAACTTCTCAACAACAACAATGGAAGCCAGAAGACATTGGAATGATATATTGTGCTAAGAAGAAGAAAATCCATTTACTAAAATTTTCTAACCATATTAAACAAGGTCTTTTTCATTAAAAATTGAGTTTGGTACCAGTAGACCTCCTCTAATGGATATTTTTGAGGCATGAGGAAAATAATCCCAATGGAAGGAGGAATGAAGAAAAACAAAAGTGAAAATAATGTTTATAGGCTCTAATTTTAAGTGATTGCAGGGACACTCAAGAAGTTAAGAGATTTCTAAGGTTTCTAGATTCCTGGACAATAAGAACTCTAGAAACTAACCAGCCAAAGTCCTTTCCAAGACAAAAGCCTTCACTCAGTAAAAATTACTGGTAGTAGAGTCCATATTGACCAGAACAAGGACATTAAAGATCAAAAAAAAGAAGTTTTCAGATAACTATAGGAGAGAATAGAGGAACCAGATGTCAGAATATACTCAAGATTCACACACATACACATGAACCTACATGTGTGCATACTTCATGGTAACAATGAAGCATGAGTGTAGAGCCATGAAGCTAAGAAAGCCATCCTGGCACATCCCCCCACACAGTGGTTCTCCCATAGGAGAGCCTGTCTCGTTTAAACATGAAGAACATGAGAGGATTGTTGATGGAAGCTTTTACAAAGGTATTAGAGGAAAAAGAAGCAGGTGCTATAACATTTCTATAATCAAGATGTACCCACAAAATGTGAAAACTGTTCATTCTAGAAATCTCAATTCTAGAAATGTAGCTCAGAAGTACACCAGGAAAAGAACAAAATGTATGTGCAAGTTATTCATTGTAGTACTGTTTGCAGTAGTAAAAGATGGGAGACAATTCCCATGTCCCTTAATGGGGTATTGATTAAATAAAGTATACATTCTTAATAGCATAATAAGCAGCTATTAAAAAGAATGAGGAAACTCTAGATATGCACCTATACAGTGATCTCCAAGATATGTTGTTAAGTGAAAAAGGCAAGGAAGAGAACATTTCCTGTAATAGGCTACTTTTTATTTAAGGAAGGAACAGGATGGAGCAAAAGTAGGTTTACAATTGTGAGTATGTGAAACACAGTTTATTCTTGTATTACTATTTATTGTATTATTTTCCATACAAACAACTGTAAACCTTTTGTCCCACCCTGTATACACACATACATATTTGCATATGTTTTGAAAGAAAATTCGTACAATGAAGAATAAATTTAAAACTAATGAAAATGGTTAATTGGAGGAGGAATGGAACATAGAGGAGGCAGGATTATCAACTGGATTTCTCTGAATATCTTTTGTTTTATAGTTTTAACTTTAAGCCATATAAATATTTTATATGCCTATAAAATAAATTTTAAAATATTAAAAAGCCAGTCAAAGCTGAAGTGAAACAAATGAATCCACTGTATACCAAGTTAGTAGTTTAACCAGAGAATTATTTTAAGTGATTAGAAACTTGGTAATTTGACTGTATAGCCCTAGAGATTTATATCCTAAGTTCAGAAAGAACTGCTGAAAAATCTTTAACTGCATATTGCTATTTTTATTTTGAATACACTAGTATGATAAAGCAAGTAAGTTAATATTAAGCACTGAGAATTTCAACATAAGAGATAAAAATGCCAGTCAAAGAAGTTAAGTAGTACTGCAACAACAATTAAAATAAAAATTTTTTTTTAAAAAGGAGGAGCACTTATGTGAGGTTATATGGAGGAGCAATACTGAGAGTAAGGGATAGGAAGTCAGCATAGTGTAAGAGCAAATAAGTTTACCACAATAGTAATAAAGCTCAGGAAGATGGTGAAATGGATTAAGACCAGGGAGGGGTGCTGTGTGGTCTTTGTAATAACAATAATATGATAGAAAATATATAACCTTAATAAAAAGAATACAAACAAAAAAAGTTAAGTAAATGCCTTCTGATAATACTGGAATCATATCAAAAAGACATCGGAGCCAACTTGAAGGGTTTCCCATTGGCCAGAGATGTGTTAGTCTGACTATGGTAAAGGATGGCTGCAATGGATGGAAATGTATGAACTATGTTAAAATCCATGAATTTATAATAATACTTTCCAAAAAAGTACTAGTCACTTTCAAAGAATGCTTGTACAAGAAGTCATTATTCTGACAACTGATTTAAAAAAAATCAAGTATTTGTCTTGCCTTTCCAGTACAAACTATATTTCAGGGTAATGAGAGAATATGACTGTCATCATTTTGTAGCTTCTAATGAAATAGTGAATCTAGGCAATGATCCTCATCAATAGCCGCTAAAACCATTAGGAGATCAATGAGGAATTTTATAATGGATAGATTAAGTTGATGAAACCTGATGAACCAACAAATCAATTGTAACATCACAAGAAGAAAGATAACCAGGCATCATTAGCCTCCTGATTGAAGTGGGAGCACAAAGTGCCACACATAACATATTCAGGTTAAGGAAAATGGTACCTGAACCTGATTAAGTTACTAGATCATTTTAATAGGAAATTCCAAGGATATAAGACTGTGTTAAATGACATTATAGGGATGCACAAGTTAAAATCCAAAATGCAGAAATTTTTACAGGATAACTTAATCTGGTTTCTTCTACAAATATCTGGCCGATGAGGGAGTTGGCCGAGTTTGAGGAGAGTCATTTGACAAATTAAAATAAATTGAGAGATGTATCAACCAATTGGATACTGATTGCAATAAACAATTATAAAAACACATCACACTGGGAAATTTTAACACTTGGTCTGTTATTTTATAACATTAGGGAACTATTTTTCTGATATAATTAATGATATATTTTATAGAAGAATCCTTTTATAGCTGCACAATATTTATGGATACATACTATTTACAGATAAATATTTTTAACTTGAATTCCATTGTGAGAATTGTTTCTCAGTTCATTAAATTTTGGTTTTATATTTATGAAATTTCTTTATTTTATTATGATTATATTCTTATTTCTTGCAAATGCTATGAATGATACTTCTGATTTTTAATGTCTGCTTTCTAATTTTTGCTTTTAAATATCATATTTGTTACTATCATATTAATTGATTTAATAATTGGAGTATTTCTTATTTCCAAGGGCTTGGATATTTTGTTTGTTTACATTTTTCTTAATGATGTGTTATTTACTTTTAAACAGAGAGTAAGACCTTAGCAAATTGTGCTTTGTACTGTATTGATGTTTTTTTTAATATTAATTTATAGTCCATCTTTGGAAATGCCCGTTGGATTCTTGGGAGGGAAAAGGTATATCTTTGTAGTCTGTATGTATGTTTCCAGTTATTTATATATATTTCTTTCAACCACTTAATCTCATTTGTACTTTCTGTTTCTATTTTACATATTAGAGACAGTGTATCCTTGACCAAGTACAGTAGTTTTTCTATCAAATTTTCATTTTATTTTTAAGTTTTGACTACCTATTTTGATGTTTTTGACATGTCACAATTCATGACCAGACCATATCTATTTATCATGGACTTCTTCTTTTTTCAGCATTGGACTCCTTTCCTTGTCTAATGCATTTTGCATTGAATTCAGCTTTGTCTAACACTGAATGTTGCCATTCTGTCTCTATTTCTTGATGTTATGCCTTGTGGTTTTGTTTTTTAATATTTTTGTGAAAGAATGTCTTATGTAAAATAGCATATAGTTTAATTTAATTTTATTTTTTTACTAAATCTAGTCGTCTTTTTACTTTAGTAAGAGGTGCCATTTACCGAGAAGCTACTATGTGCCAGAGACTATACCAAGCATTTTTCTATGTAGTGTTTTTCATTTAATCCTTAGAACAAATCCAAGAAGATGACCCTATTATCACTATTTTAGTGATGAAGAAATTAAGGTTCAGAGAGGATAAAAAAAACTTAACACAGGCTGATCTTACTCACTACTTAATTGCTGTCAGATGATTTCTTTCTCAAATCCTAAGCTGCAAAGTTAACAGGTGTACATAGCCCAGGCTGTAACCAAATTTCCATGGTATGTGTTTAAAGTGCTATGCCAGACTGAGGAGAGGTCTGCTGCAGCTTGGGGAAGAGGACAGTTTATTCTTGAATAAATTAAAGCTCTTCCATTATCAAAATAGTACATGAAAAACTACCACTTCAATGGCTTTGTGTCCTAGAATACAATAAAATCACTTCCTGTCCATTTCTCCTCCTGTTACTGAGATTTGTTTTCCCTGAGTAGTTGTAGAAAGTCACTGATTGATGCACCAGACGCAGAGGCTGGCGACCCTTCACAGTGGCAAAGAGGCTTTTCTCCTGTTAGCTAAGTCCAGGTGTCTCTGCAAGAGTGTGTGGAATGGGTGTGAATGAAAATCTGCTTCCTTCCTCTTTTCTTTGTGGCCCTGTCTATTTTTTGATTGGTGGAAATTCCTCACGGGCTGTGATAGTTCACAAGTATTCCCATTCCCTGTGTTGTTACAGCTTGGCAAATTTGTGTTTCGTCAACGTTTCAGTGGGAACGTAAGGTTAACTAAGTTAGTTGGTAGTAATTTATTGCCATCTTAAATCAAGAACCTTTCAGAGCCATTAGACTTCTGCTTTTAAAGAGCATGAACCGTGTATGTGAGGAGCCAGGGGCATTAAGAGATAGATGAGGTGTGGCCTGGAATTTTTGCTAATAGTTTACCAATATGCTTTCTTAAGATATCTAATGAAGTTAATGAGTGCCGAAAAATTGAGACCCTTGAAAATGTGGATCTGGATTTTGATGATGACGTCACAGAACTCGAAACTTTTGGAGTAACCACCACCAAACCATCAAAGTCACCAAGTCCAGCAAGCACTTCCATAGTATCCAACGTGAAAAATACTTCCACAGCCCCCAGTGCAGCAGCCACTCCCATGGCACCAGCTGCACCAGCAGATGTTTCTGCTCACTCTAGAAGTTTATCTCAGATTCTAATGGAACAGTTGCAAAAGGAGAAACAGCTGGTGACTGGTGTGGACGGTGGCCCTGAAGAGTGTAAAAATAAAGATGATCGGGGATTTGTACCATGTCTTGAGAAGGCATCAGGAAATTCTGACAAACCTCTGATGCAAGATGGTGACTCGAAAACATCTGATGCCTTACAGCTAGGAAGCTCTGCAGAAAATGAAACCTCTGATAAAAATGGCATGGCTACTGATACTATGTATACTGATGAAAGACTAAATGTTCTAGAGAACACAGACAATTCAAAGGAAAAGACTGTTATATCAGAAGCAGCAAAAACTGAAGATGCAATGCTTTGCAATAGTGATACAGATGAAGACTGTTTAATCATTGATACAGAGTGTCAGAAGAATAGTAATGGAAAAGCAGTTGATGTGGGTTGTAATTTAAGTTCTAAGCCGGCCAGCCCAAATTCTTCCTCAGGAAACCAGACTAATGCTACTTGCAGTTCTGAAGAGTCCTGCGTTCTAAAAAAACCTATCAAACGAGTATACAAAAAATTTGATCCAGTTGGGGAAATTTTAAAAATGCAGGATGAACTCTTAAAGCCAATTTCCAGAAAAATACCTGAATTGCCCTTAATGAATATAGAAAATTCTAAACAACCTCCTGTTTCCGAACAACCCTCCGCTCCTTCAGATACCTCTAGTTGGCCAAAAACTGTATGGCCAACTGCATTTCAGAAGCCAAAAGGACGTAAGTAAATATTAATTTAAAAAGTTCGTATTATCTGTTTTACCTATTCCTTGTCCTTCGGGTTTTTTCCCCTTGTTCCCTCACTCTCTTTGTTATAACTTGTCTTATAATCTTTATGTAGTCATTGATAAGTCATTTTTTAAATCTATTGATCAGTATTTTAACTTCCAAACCTCTCTGAATATATACCCAGAGTTGTATGGATTTTGTAACCTGTGTTTATCCAACATGTACAGTGACTGCTAAGCTATAGGTAATGTCGTTTGTCAAACTGAAGAAAAGGAAGTGCATCAAAAATAATCGTAAACATTTATTACTCCAAAATTTATTTATTCTTGGTGTTTTGTACTATTTCATTTTGTGAAATAGATACAAAGCTGCACTTCAGCTCTGCCTAGGTTAGGAATAACAGTTTTTAAAACTTTTTTTTTCTTCTCACTTCATATGTTGTCTCACTAACTTACTCTTTGTCTAGGGTTAGTTAAGATAGTTGTTAAAAGAAAGAACCTTAAAGCTTCAATTTCAGTTCTTGCTCCAGTTCCAATAAAAGGAACCAAGTGGTAATAGTGTGATGGTCAAATGAGATGAACTAGAAAGTTATAGATGATAGAAATTTAAAAGTAGTTCATTGAATTGTTTTATCTTGGATTATGCTAGATAAACAACTAATGTATTTTAAAATAAAAATGAGAAATACAATTATTTTTAAAGGATTGCCATATGAACTTCAGGACTATGTTGAAGATACATCAGAATATGTAGCTCCTCAGGAAGGAAATTTTGTATACAAGTTATTTAGCCTGCAAGACCTGTTGTTACTTGTACGATGCAGTGTCCAGAGGATAGAGACCAGACCACGTTCTAAAAAGCGGAAGAAAATCAGAAGAGTAAGTTGTTACTTGGGGAGTTAGGGTGTATTAGCATAAGTCGGTAATCAGCAATATTTAACATGGCTTTGTTACGAAGTTTAATTTTAAGTTGTTGAACATTCTTGTAGTAATGTTTCCAGGTTGAAATGTTAGTAAAATACTGAAAACATTCTTAATAAGGAAAAGTGCTTAGTTAAATATAGTAATCACGAATGCTGATAATGTTCTTGCATGAAATAACATAAACTTTGTGGAAAATGACAACATCATAGATTTGACCTAGCCTGGCACATATGTTCCTGCTTTCTCTGTGAGTTTGAATTCCATTATGTCACACTAACCCCTTTCTCTCTTACTTCGGGGACCTTCTTGACTCATTTTAGAAGTCCAAACTGTGAAAGGTAGGCTTTCACACACATTTGAAAAGTCTTCCCAGAATTGCTAGGAGACCAGATGTCATTCTTTCTTTTTCCTGTCTTGTTTCTTTAGGTTTGTTGTCAATATTTTCCTTAGTTAAAAAAGTTTTTGCTACAGTTTGCATTAATTGGCTCTTTCAGCAGTTTTCTCTATTTGATATTTGAAATTATCTTCCAGATTAGTTTGGGGTGTGTGTGTGTGTGTGTGTGTGTGTGAGAGAGAGAGAGAGAGAGAGAGAGAGAGTGTGAGAGAGAGAGACCACTGAACTCTGGTGAATAAAGAGTAGCTTCTATATTATGATTGATTATGTAAGACATTGTGAAGTCTCTAATTTTTCTTGAGAATTTTTTCTTTTCTGTACATTTATTGTAGTATATATATATTTTTGAAGTATTAATGCCTAACCTACCACCCAGTAAGGATCCTCAGTCACTACTTTATAAAATTCCTAACTTATCATTTGGTTTCCATCACCTCTTCAGGCTTGAAATTTTAGAAACCCAGTGGTTTTGAATTAAATATATGGGGGAGTGTTTTTTTGTTTTGGGTTTTTGTTTTAATAAGAGAAAGTCAAGGTGACAAAACAACTGTACATTTGGTAACAGTCTCCTTGTTACAGAACAGACCTGGGGGTTGAGTGGTCCCTCTGTCACTGTGGATTCTTTGCCTGCCACCAGGAAATTGGAATTATGGCTCTCAATGCCAGAGTTTGGTGAAAAGGAAAGGAACTATTTATTCAGAAGTGATACAGGCTTAGAGTAATGGCAGAATGTCACTGTTAACACTCAAAGTCCCTTAAAACACCCACAAACACACACAGTCCTTCCTTCCCTCCCACTGCCCAGTCAGGCCAGTCAGGGGTACCATCCATGGCTTGGCTAGCTCCTGGCTTTCCACAGTAATCTGCTCGGCTGGCAGGCCTCCCTCAGTTCCTAGCACCATCAGCTGTGTTGCCACTTATCTCAAGATCTTAATCTAAATCCATGTGGTATCTTCCCATGGCCCACCAGCGAGTCCTTTCACCCCTTTCCTTCCTGCAATGTCTTTCTTGCATTCTTTCAAACTGCTGAGAGAACTCTGCATGGCTGCTACATCTTGCTTTCCTGCTCCATAAGTCACATGGTAAAGGGAGCCCCCAAACCACGTGGTTGGTCCCCCAAAACCACATGCTTAGACCCCCACATAGCTGCTGCGCCTGGGTTTAAATCCCAGTGTGAATCTTCCTCTGTAACCCCATTTCCGAGTCCTCCCACAATTGGCTACACCTACCAGCATTCCCGTATTTTTCCAGCCCTTCTTGGCTGCCATAGTTAGTCCAGGCAGGTGTGGACCTGTGGCATGGAGCCAACCATGTCCAAGCTCTCACACAAGCATCGTAAAAGGGAGCTGCCTCCCAGTTACAGCATGGGTTCAAGTCACGCCCATCTCCCTGGTTCAAAGCATGTCCACAGCTACTTAACATGTCCATGAAGCTAGCCAGCTGTTATAGATATGTAAAATAACCACTTTTGCATGTCAGCAGTGAAACTGGTCAACTGTTGCTATGCAAATAACTGTCAGTGGCCCTGCTCCATGTGCCCCATCCCCCAGTACAGACTTGTGGGGGTGAGAATATCCTGTATTTTTATGTTTTCTGGGCACCCTGAGTTCTGGACCCCATTGCAAACCTCTCTTTGGAGGGAACCGGGCTGCACCCCCAATACATCCTCCTAGATAAATACCAGTATTCTCTGTATTAAATGATTTTACTTTATTTGTTAATTTTTCCTGTCTCATCTACATTTAACTCTGATCAATTTGATAGCCATAGCATAAACATCTCAAATACATAGAGTGTCAGTGCTATGGATTATCTTTTCAAGTGTTATTTTTATTTAGTTATTTTTTAAATCCTCACCTAAGGATATATTTATTGATTTGAGAGAAAGAGAAACCTTAATGTGAGATAGAAACATTGATTGGTTGCCTCCCATACATATCCCAACCCAGGATCAGACGTGCAACCTTTTTGGTGTGTGGAACGATGCTCCAACCAACTGAGCCACCTGGCCAGGGCTCAGAGTTTTATGTCTTTAATTCTTATTTACTATCTGATTTATTTGGGGAATAACCTTATTTCTTTCACTACCCCGTGAACCCATACCACTTTGCATTGATCTGCCAGCTTACAGCACTCAGAAATTATTGATGGGCAGGGTTGCTCGAGTAAGAATTGCCTAGAGATGTTTTGAACACTTACTTAATTCCTGAATTCCTATTAAAGACACTGTTATTCACTTGACTGAAGTGAAATTTGCAAATATCAGAACAGAACCTGATTGGAGAGAATTCACTCTACATCAAAATATATCCAAACAGTCCAGCCCCAAATAATATCTGAACAGCCTTGTATTTCTGATTGTGTCAAACCCAGAATAAAATTTAAATTTTTTCAGTGAATAGTTATTATATTACACCTATCATTATATGTAATAAGGTTTAGTTTTTACCAAGTTTAGTACACATGGTTTAAATCCCTTAGTAGAATGTGTTTCCCTGGCTGGCGTAGCTCAGTGGATTGAGCTCAGGCTGGGAACCAAAGTGTCCCAGGTTCGATTCCCAGCCAGGGTACATGCCTGGGTTGCAGGCCATAACCCCCAGCAACCGCACATTGAAGTTTCTCTGTCTGTCTCTCTCTCTCTCTCCCTCCCTTCCCTCTCTAAAAATAAATAAATAAAATCTTAAAAAAAAAAAAAAAGAATGTGTTTCCTTTGGAATCATATCCTGTTTATCTCTGTTTCTCCCAAATGTTTTATACCATAGAAACTCAATAAATAGGTATTGAATAAATGAAAACAATTGAGGGGTGAGGAAGAAGGAGGGTGTTCTTAAAGACAGGAACTTAGGGAAGTTGAGGCACTAGTTTGAGAAATTTTGAAGTGATACTATTTAAACTGCAGTTGGGTTAGAATCCATCCTCATCAATATTTCCTGCTTAAAAATCAACTTGTTTAGAGAAAGCTTTAAAATATGTTTAGAAGTCTCTCCAACCACTGATGTACAAGAACCTCATCTTCTTTAGGTCTTCAGTTTTCTGTTATCATCGTGGAAATTTTAGTTTCCAATATCATTTATCCTTCTTTATCAAATCGCTGCTTAATAAGAACTGCACATCAGAGAGCTGTAACAGCAGCCAGTCTCAAGTGATGGAATGAAATAAAGAGGGCTAATTTGGACTGGGATGAAGCTAGAACTTAGTGAGGGCTACACATAGGTACGAAATCCACACCAGGTAACTTGGAATGATTTAATATTATGTGTTATTATATGTCTCAGTTAGCCAAATTTCCTAAGAGATGTATTCTAAAATGATTCAAAATTTTATTTTTTATTGAATTTATTGGGGTGACACTAATAAATACAATTTTATAGGTTTCAGCTATACACTTCTATAATATATCATGGAGCCAATTATTTTGTAATTTATATTGGTATTCCAGGATGAGAAAAAGGATAATGAAGGTGCTTGAATATTAGGAAAGAATGGAATGTACACAATAGGATCAATGCCAGGAAATAGCTATGAAATATATATTTAGGAATGTATATAAAAGTTTAAAAGGTTTATGTGAAAAATTGAAAGATAGAACCAAGAAAAGAAGAAAAGTTTTCACTTAGGGAGAATAGGAGTACCTATCAAGGGAGAAAGGAAATACTAAGTTTAATTTTTATAGTTAGAAAATTGTTATTGCATTTAAACTTTCACTTTAATTTTGGAGTACTAAGGTAAAATATTCAGACTTTCCCTTGGCTTCCTGGAGATGGCAGTAGAATACATACAGAAATTAAAACCAGATTCAGGAGTTAGTTTAACAAATATGGCAGTATTATCAAAAAAATTCTCCAAAGTATTTTCTTTTCAGAAATAGTACAGTAATATCTTTTATTTTTTAAAAAATCTTAACTCTGTTATCTATTTCTGATTCAAAAGGGGAATCTTCTTCATCAGTTGTTCCTTTCCCAACACTGCTGTGAACTGGCCGTGTCCTTGAGAAAATTTCTTACCCCTCTGAGCCCTCATTTCTTTATCTCTAGCTACTGTTTGCAACTATAAGGAACTTTAAATGCAAATTGCCAGTTGCTGAAGACTTATTATACAATAAAATACTTGAGTAATAAAATTGTCCTAATCATTATATATATATCTATTTTTATGTAAAATATATATTTTTTTCTTTTTTTTTTAATCAAGGGGCCTTAGTACTGAAAGTTTGGCCCCAGGAACAACAACTTGTTAAAAAATTGCAAAACCTTGGTCTTCACCTCAAATTCCACATTTAACATGATCACATTCCTATGCACATTGAAATTTAAGAAACACTACTTTAGAGTTTTAAAACATTCAAAGGTAATTATGAACCAAATCTTCTGTTAGCAGAAGTTTTACTTCATTTGAATTGTTCTTACCACCACCATTGTGCCAAGCCCTTATTTGCCACTTTGTGAAAATCAGGAATTCTGAAACATTTATAAAATATTTTCAAGTATATAATTAGTGACAGCTTAGTGTAATTTCAAAAATATTGTACTAAGTAGCCACATCACTCTAAGTTCCATAAATCATGTGTTTCTCCTTCTGCAGCTGGGACTAGAGACACTGCTGTTACGAGCAGAATTGTCTGGCAGAAATGAGATGACATGAATAACGTTATATTATTTCACAAGCATTTGTTTCCTTACATATCTTCCTTCAGACCAGTAATGGGTACAGTTGTTTTACTTAACCTATTTAATGTCCTGACCAGTACTCTCTAAACGGAAAATTTGCCAGGTACTGACTGTCTACAATAAAGCTTTCATGTTAATAAAGCTGATGGCATTCACAGATGTTAATGTAGGTATTAATGCTCATACATTCATAGAATGAAAACAAGCTGCTCAGAGTATTCGATCCTTGATAATGTGAATGTGACTAATGCTTTAAAGGGGCAAAAAAGAAATCGTTTTTTTATCCTCTTGAGAATTAGTATATTTCACAGTCATTCCTTTCTGGAATCTCGTTTTTAACCTTCAGGCAATTATGTATCATAGGCTATGTTCCAAGGTTTCTGCTGTCAGATTCCCTGACAGAAGTCAAGCGTGTACATTTGGGGCCGGGGGGCAGGAGGAAGCGGGAGAGTGTTGATTGGGATGGGCTTTGGTGGGGTGGTTCAGGATCTCTTATTCAGCCTCATCTTGCCCCATCTACCAAAGTTCCATCTATCTTTCTGTCTGAATCCTACTGTATTTGAAAGGATCAAATAAAATTACTTGAAAGTGTTTTGAAAGTGGCAAACTTTCAAATATATATGTATAGGCAAATATATATGCTGTAAGTAGTAAACTAATGGAAGTTTGAACAAGTATAACCTTGCATTGCAGCAATTCCCAGTGTATGTTCTACCAAAAGTAGAGTATCAGGCTTGCTATGGAGCTGAAGCTCTGACTGAAAGCGAAATTTGCCGCTTATGGACTGAAAGCTTACTGCATTCCAACTGCTCATTTTATGTTGGTAAGTTGTATAAGAGGCTTTGCTCTCCTTTTTCATTCTCTTGTAAATATATACTGTATTTTGCCGTGTATGGTGTGCATGCATGCTTTTGGCCCAAACTTTCAGGGAAAAAATCTTTAGTTTTAAATATTTTTATTCAGTTTTTTATTTATTTAAATTTAGAAACAAAACCAATCATCATATTCCAGGGTATTATTTTGCATACAGATATTATTATTGTTTTCTAGAGTTACACTTTTAATGCATAAGCATAAATAAAAGAATTAAAAGCATTTATAGTGATATGGAAATAGTACTACCCATGTATAATGTGCATCCTTATTTTTCCCTCAAAAATTTGGACAAAAATAGTGCACATTATACACAGCAAAATACAGTTTTTACCTTTTTAATATTATATTTTATTGAGTATGCTGTTACAGTTTGTCCCAGTTTTCCCCCTATGCACCCCTCCACCCAGTACCCCCCACTCCCTCCCTGTACTATTGTTCATGTACATGGGCCATGCATGTAAGTTCTTTGGCTACTCCATTTCCTATGCTATATTTTATACCCCTATGGCTATTCTGTAACTACCTATTTGTACTTCTTAATCCTTCTTCATAGTTGTCGGACTTCTATTCAGCTTGATTTCTGAAGGTTCTGAGTGATGGTTGTTCTGTAGTTTAGTTGTCATTTTGATGTGGCATGTGAGGAGGAGAGCTGTGTTTACCTGTGCCTCCGTCTTGCCCGGAAGTCAATACATGCTTCTTAATTCAATTGTAAATGTCTACCCTATACTTTTTGTTTTCAGATTTGTGACTTTGTTAACATTCCTTTCTATTAAAACACCATTCATACTCCAGAGTTGAATGGTAGTGTGGGACTAGCAATATCTAATATTTTGATTTACCTCTTATTCCCTATCTATTTAGTTGTATGTGAATGTCAACAATATTATTTTATTTTTAAAATATAATCTTTAACAATATAATTAACTAGAAATATAGATGTTTTCTAATGAACTTCTTTAAAAGTACTTTTTGCTTTAAGCATATATTTTGAAATGTCTTTAAAATTATGATGACATTTTCAAAATCTCACATATTGATGACATTTTTTTACTTTGTTTTTGCTTTGTTGTCTTTGGGGGTGCATAGTTAGGCAGGGATTTAATTTGTTTAGCTGGGTTCGTGTACTGTTAACGTACTTCACCCAGAGAATAACTAATCATTATTGATATTGTTCCCTTCCAGTGGAATATGCCTAATGCCACAAATCTTGAATCGATCCCAGCCATCCGAAGTTGCTCCTCCATTAAGCCATTTTCGGCCTCTGATCTCTGAGTGCACTGTCTTTTTTTCACTGCTCTTGTTACTTGTTGCTTGCTTTCTACTTCATTGTTATGTTTTACACCTTTCCTGTCTTCCCGCTGAACAGTAATCAGTTTAAGAATCTAATGAAACTTTATATTCTTGTAGTGCTTAACATAATTCCTTGTATATAATCAATGTTATGAGTGTGTTTTTCTTGCTTATTCAAAAAAGGTTACATACTGGAAAAATTTTTTCCGTATTTTAGTTAACCAATATTTTGTCTTCATATTCTATAAAAGTATTAATAAGATCATTGATTCATCCTCTCTGCTTAGCTCAAAAAGGAAGTGCTAAATGCACTACTTGGTGGTACTCTAGCCCCCTTCACCCTTCATATCACAGAAGCTCATTGTAGCAGTTTTTGACCCGTGACTGCAGTTTCAGTGTTCTTCGACATGTCTCTAGCCACAAAACATACCAACAGTCCACCCACATACCAAGCAGTTGCCATACACATCCACTTTAGGAAAGGACCAAAGGGAAACTTATCACTGAAATCTTCTTTAATTTAAAGTACTGACAGAGAATAGATATTCACAACTAAAACATTTAAGGTTTTTTTAAACAGTAATATAATGGCATAGATGAACAGTTCGCTCAAAGGAATTCAGCTTTATGTGTCACCATAGTGTCAGGAAGACCACTGTCCTTTCTAGTACTTTATCTGGTACTGCCTCATCTGTAAATTGGGAATTGCAATAATTTTTATTTAATTTAACTTTTTATGTTTTAATTACAGTTTACATTCAGTATTATTCTCTATTAGTTTTTTTTACATAATATTTTTTTAATTTTATTTTAATCATTGTTCAAGTAATATTCTCTATTAGTTTTAGTGTACAGCAAAGTAATTAGAAAATCATGTACTTTACAGAGTAGTACCTCTGCTGCTTCAGGTACCATCTGACCCCGTGCATAGTTATCATGGTATTATTGGCTGTATTCCCTATGCTATAATATACATCTCTGTGACTGTTCTGTAACTACCAATTCATGCTGTTTCATGCCTTCACCACTTTCACCCAGCCCCCAAACCCTCTGCCTTCTGCCAGCTGTCAGCCTGTTCTCTTGTCTATTTCTACTTTGTATATTTTAATAATTAGATTATACATATAAATAAAATTATATTATTGTCTTCCTCTGTCTGACTTATTTCATTTAGCATAAAATACCCTCTAAGTCCATTCATGCTATCACAAAAGGTAATATTTCATTCTTTTTTTATGTCTTAGTAATATTCAATTGTATACATATACCACAGTTTTTTTATCCACTCATCTGTTGATGGGCACTTGGGTTGCGTCCATGTCTTGGCTATTATAAATAATGCCACAGTGAACATAGGGGTGCATATATTCTTTCAAATCATTGTTTCAGGTTTCTTCAGGTTTATTCCCAGAAGTGGAATCTCTGAGTCATAAAGCAGTATCATTTATAATTTTTAGAGGAAACTTCATACTATTTTCCATAGTGGCTGCACCAGTCTGTGTTCCCCCCAACAGTGCACTAGGGTTCCTTTTCTCCACATCCTCACCAACACTTGTTGTTTGTTAATTTGTTGATGAGAGCCATTCTGGTAGATGTGGGGTGGTGTCTCATTGTGGTTTTGATTTGCACTTCTCTGATGATTAGTGACATTGAGCATCTTTTCATATCTCCATTGACCATCTGTATGTCTTCCTTAGAGAAGTATTTATTTAGGTTTTCTGCTACTTTTTAAATAGGTTGTTTATTTTTCTGGTATTAAATTGTCTGAGTTCTTCTAAATTTTGTATATTAACCCCTTATCCGATGTATCACTGACAAATATATGTTCTCCCATTCAGTTGTCTTTTGGCTTTGTTGGTGGTTTCCTTTGCTGGGCAAAACTTTTTTTTAGTTTGAAGTAATACTGTTTATTAATTTTTCTTTTGTTTTCCTTGCCCAAGGAGAAATACCAGAAAAAATATTGCTACAAGAAATATGGGAGATTTTACTGCCTATGTTTTCTAGGAATTTTATGGTTTTGAGTCTTATAATGAAGTCTTTGATCCATTTTCAGTTTATTTTTGTACATGGTGTAAGAAGGCAGTCTATTTTCTTTTCTTTTCTTTTTTTTTTTTTGCATGAATATGTCCAATTTTCCCAACACCCATTTATTCAATAGTCTTTATCCCACTACATGTTGTTGCCTCCTTTGTCAAATATTAATTGACCATACAGGTGTGGGTTTATGTCTGGGCTCTCTATTTGGTTCTACTGATCTATATGTGTGTTTTTATGCCAATACCATGTTGTTTTGATTACTGTGGCACTGTAGTATAGTTTGATATCAGTTGTGCAATACCTCCAACATTGGTCTTCTTTCTCAAGATTGCTGAAGCTGTCTGGGGTCTTTTGTGGTTCCATATAAATTTTAGGATGATTTGTTCAGCAATAGTTCTGTGAAAAATGCATTTGGTATTTTAATAGGGATTCCACTGAATCTGTAGATTTCTTTGGGTAGCATGGACATTTTAATGGTGTTAATTCTTCCTATTCACAGACATGATACATGCTTCCGCTTATTTGTATCTTCTTCAGTTTCTTTCTTTAGCATCAAAATTTTCCACTGGTCTTTTAGCTCCTTGGTTAAATTTATTCCTAGGTATCTTTTTTTGTTGTTGTTACAACTGTAAGTGAGATTGTTTCTTATTTCTCTTTCTGATAGTTCATTATTAGTATATACAATCAATTTCTGAATAATTTTGTATCCTACTTTACTGAATTCATTTATCACTTCTAGTAGTCTTTTGGTGAAATTGTTAGGGTTCTTTCTATATAGTATCATGTCATCTGCAAATAATGAAGTTTAAAGGTTTTTTTAATGTACAGTTTAGCATATAAAACTGCCATCATCTATATGGCTTACTTCATCTAAAGTATTCTTAAAAGTTCTAAGTAATCATTATCCTGTGTGCTGTTTGTCCTCAACAGTCTTACCCACTTAAAGCAATTCATTTTACTGTAATGGGATGGTGTACTTGGTTTCTTTGACAACTGTTTGGTGAGAAACTTACATTGTATGGATGTGTGGTTCTGTTTTCTCTGGGAGGTTTGTGTATGGGTTAATATGTTTTGAACGGCTATTTCTTAAAAAGATTTTATTTATTCATTTTTAGAGAGAGGGGAAGGGAGGGAGAAAGAGAGGGAGAGAACCATCAATGTGTGAGAGATACATTGATCAGTTACCTCTCACATGCCCCCAACTGGGGACTTGGCCTGCAACCCAGGCCTACGCCCTGACTGGGAGTCCAACTGGTGACTTTTCAGTTTGCAGGCCAGCACTCAAACCACTGAGCAACACCAGCTGGGGCTGAAATGCTATTTTTAAAGCATCTGTGGGTGTTAAGTTTTTTTTCAATGTTGTTATATTACTCTTTTAATTTAAGGAAAATTTTGCAACAGGGAGGGAGTGTAGGAGACAGGCTAGGCCCTCATAACGCTTAGTATGGAATTCTCGGTGTAGTTATTTTTGACTGACCATATTTGATGTACACTTTAATACATACTTTGAATTAAGATTTCTTAAAAAGGTAAGAACTGTTAGTCTCTTCAAAGTCAAATTTAGTAAAGGTCTAAAAAGACTTTATTATATTTAATGTTCCCTTTCTACAGTTATTAAACCATTAAAATATCTTCGTTATTAGAAATGTCATTCTATGATGAGTGTTAGAAATGCAAAGGTGAAACTAAAACTTAGCATAGAAAATAACAAGTAGTATGGGAAAAATAGATTTGTTGTCTTAGAAGAAAAGTATCTGGTAAAAATGTTTCTAATTCTTTTTATTAGCATGAAGCAAATGAAATGAAAGAGGGCTAGGTATGAAAATGAGATACTAGTTGTGTGCATTTTTTATTGTCTTAATGATTGGCATTGGCTTTTCAGGTAACGTGTTTTCATAACTAAATATTGAAAGTTAAAAAAGTAAAAACAAAAGCGGTATTATTTTCAGCATTAGTGAGAGTTACACTTATAAAAAGCAAATTGATGTTTTTAACCATGGTGCTGAAACATGGTTTTTGTACTGATCTAAGGTTTAACTCAGGGCTTTTATATCCTTAGAACATTTGAGGGTCTCGGTGTTGTGTCTCAGCCTGTTTTGTCATGGAACATACACATTACTTTTTAAAGTAGAAGCATCATTTTGAGAATTTGTCATTTTGGTTTTTGGAATTTCACAGTTATGTCACATTTGTAAGAAAGTAAAACTTTGAGCAGACTATTTTGATTTTATATTTAACCACAAGAAATCTCATGGTCTGCCTTAACTAAAAATAAGTCAGATATTTTCAGCTTTATTGGGTTGTAATTGACAAAATAGTAAGATATTTAAACTATACTTTGTGGTAAATTCATATATGTAGACATCGTGAAATGATTTCTCCCATATATACTTAATTGACATATCACCTTACATATTTATATTTTTATTTTTTTGATGAGAACATTTTGGTTCCGCTCTGCCAAATTTTAATTATATAATACTGTGCTATCAACTATAATCGCCATTTATACATTAGATCCTCGGACCTTATTTTTCTTATAGGTGAAAGTTGTACCATTTTACCAACATGTAACTATTTTCCTCATCCCCCTATCTGGGAGAATCACTTTTCTACTCTCTATGAGATGTTTGTTTTTTTTTATTTAGATTTCCTGTATGAGTGATACCATGCAGTATTTATCCTAGTCTGACTCATTTCACTTAGCATAATGTCCTCAGGTTCTATCTCTTTGGTCATAAATAGCAGAATTTCCTTCTTTGTCATGGAGGAAGAATATGCCATTGTATATACATCCTGCATCTTTATCCATTCATCTGTTGAGGGACACTTAGGTGTTTTCATATATTTGGTACTGTGAATAAGCTGGCTTTTACAATCTAATTTTTATCTGAACCAAGTATGTCTTAGAGATGTATAGAACATGCCCAAATGAAATTTGACTTTATCTGGTTACTTTGATAATAGGTGTATATTTCTCTAAAAATTTAATCTCCATAAAAATTCAACTTTCATATCAATTAGAAATACCAATATTTTAAGTTGTTATTTTTAAATTGTGGGCTTAGGGGTGTATTGATATATAACCTTTTCTACATTCGGCACATTTTTTAGAAATAATACATCTTTTGTAATCTGACTTTTTAGGTCATTTTAAAAACAGCTTTACTTAATAAACTTAAAACTCCTCTTTTGGAATGTAAAGTTCATTTATAGTTATTACAGCTTTATAAAAACATCTTTAAAGAGACTAGGTAACTTGTTTTTGGTTTTGTTTTACTTTTTAATTGCTGCAATTGTTTTCAAGTTTGATATTTTACTTTAGGTCATATCGATGCATTTACTTCAAAGCTTTTCCTGCTAGAAGAAATTACCTCAGAAGAATTAAAAGAAAAGGTTTCGGCACTCAAGTAAGGTTTATTTTGTGCTCTCATACAATCCAATACCTGATTTTGAAGGAAGCTCAGAAAATGGCAAAAATTAAATAAATATTATAATTTAATTGAATTGGGGATGCATTTTGGTGTCCTGTGTTTTACACTGTCTCACCTATTTTTGTTGTTGTTATGGAGGGCACTTCTCTTCCTATAGAACTGTAACTGTTAAAAAGTAAGGGGTCTTTTGTTGTTTAATTTTACATGAATGTCTTCTATTTTATAGGATTTCAAGTTTATTTAATATCCTCCAACACATTCTAAAGAAATTAAGTAGGTAAGTATTTTTTTAATAGTTTCATTGATATTTTTTATTTTCTTTGATGAAAATTCATGGAAACTGTGAATATATGCTATTAGGAATAGATAGAATATAACCTAGAAATGTAAGATGTATTTTTCTGTGTCAAAGTTGAAATTATGAAAATAAACTAAAAAATAATGTCATTTACACTTTTCTATGAGGCAAATTACGGTGATTTCCTGTTGCCACTGTAACAAATGACGGCAGACTAAGTGTGCCGTCATCAGTATAAAAGTGTGCCTTTTCAAAGTATAAGTGTGTGTTGTCCATGATTAGACAGTTAGGCAGACTATTTGTTTCCCATTAAATAATTGAAAACTTACAAATTGGCTGATACTGACAGTAAAAATAAAATACTCATATATCCTGAACTTTGGAATAAGAATGAAAATTAGTTGCCTTAAAGACATGAAAATAGTTTAAAAGACTTCTTGAATCTAATTTGATCATAAAATTATTTTTAGAGGTGGTATCCCATTTCCGTACTGTTTTTGATTTTACTCATAGTTCATGATTAAGAAAATGCTGTTGAAGTTGACACACTGAGTTGAGTTTCATTGTGTGGATTTAGCTTGCAGGAGGGTTCCTACTTGTTGTCTCATGCAGCAGAAGATTCTTCACTCCTGATCTACAAGACCTCTGATGGAAAAGTCACTAGGACAACATACAATTTACATAAAACACATTGCAGCCTCCCTGGTGTCCCTTCCAGTCTCTCAGTTCCCTGGGTTCCATTAGATCCCAGTCTGTTATTACCGTATCATATCCATCATGGAAGAATACCTTGTACTTTTCCACCTAAGTCACTAGGTCCCACAGCACAACAAAAGGTAAGATCTTTTTTTTTAATTAAATGTGCCATTGGGTTGTTTATTATTAACCTATTTCACTGGCTATATACTATTTCAACTTGATGTCCACATTCACCATATCAATCATAATGTCATTGTAAAAGCAATATTCGTAGGATAGATAAAGTTGTATGCTCTCCTGAGTTTAGTTGCTATGTCAGTGGAACTTTCTATTTTTTGTAAGCTTTATAAGTCAGCTAATGAAAGTTGTTCTAGCTTGCCCAGTGGGCGCATGAGTGAAGAAGCATCCCCATAGTTAAGTCCTTTGTTCCTATGAAAAGCAAAGTTTGGTAATTTTTTTATGATAATGCTCTATTTCATTAAATATTTGAGGCAGTTTGCAAAAGAATACATACAATAAAATTATGATACAATTAAAATTGATAAGTAGGCTATAGGAAAATATAAAAACTAGCATCAGTGATTAGGGAATGCAGTGCTTATTAAAAGTACAATAAAATATTAAACACTATATTGTGTTTTGCTAAGTATTATATAACTCAGTATTTATTCAGTTATAATAAATGTTAGTCTCTTTATAGAATCCTTCCCAGAAATACCAGCTGGATGTGTTTCCTCTGTCTGAAACTTCCTGTAAGGCCATGACTAAGAAATACCCTTCATCGTGTCACTTGTTCTTTACAGCATGGAAGAAACTCCAAATTGAGTTCAGCTGTAGTAAAAGTTTTGATCCCTACAAATCAGAATCTAAATGTTCAGGAAACAAGAAAACAATGTATTTTCCTTCCCTGCTGCCAAAAATCTTTGAGTCAAAATCATTGTCTAAGTCTGTAGTCTTCCCAACATGTGCACCCAGAACGTGTCACATGTGGACTGTGTGGGTGTTTCTCTGCTCTTTTTTTCTTTCACCTTGAGCAAATGTACTCAAGTCCTTTGAGAAACAGCTGGAATGCAAATGCTGAAGTTTCTAAGATAATTTAGTGACTAGGTTTTTTTAAATATTTTTTTTTAGTTTTTTAATGTCACTATTTGGGAGGATCCTTTTAGAAATGAAAACTCCTTGCACATTCTTAGTTAACTTTGTCTAAGAAAATATATAAATGTTATTAACTAGTTGCTATGAATGAAAGAATGGAGAAAGTTCTTAGCATTTTAAACCATTTTGTCTAATGTTTTGGTTGCCTATTTCCAGTTTACATTTAATATAAGTTGTGATTCTTATAACCTTCTAAGGCACAATTTTCTTAGCTAATCTAAAAATAATAACAGAAAACTCTTTTTAAAGGGTTTGTGTTCATTCTAGAATAATGAATTCTTTTTAATTTATAAACTCTGTTTATAGTTTCTCACCTCTAACATAATTCTCTGTGGAGTGGCTCACTCCTTTTTGGTGAGAGTCAGCAGTCTCATAGCTGGATGAGACTCATTCTATATATGTAGGGTTTGACCACATAAATACAAAGTTAAACAATTCAGTTATATATATATATACTACTGAGAACTTCACTCATGTGTGTTTTTTAAGATAATTCATGCATTCAGGGACAAATACTTAGATTATTCAGGACCTAGTTGTCATATAGCCTAGCATTAAGTACAGTAGAAATTAGATAATTAATCCTTGGTTTGATATTTTCTCCAAGCCCATGAAAAGTTGTTGGTGATCTCTGACATACTGCCCTACAATCTAGCCCTACATTTGGTGGGAATTACTTCACCTTCCTCCCTATTTCCTCCTAGTTAGGCCATAGGAATGGGACTTTCTAGTCCAACCAAGATAAGCAGAGATAGGGATTCTAACCTTAGCAGCAATAGGAGAAGACCAATGCTTCAGGAAGCTTGGGAAAGTAAGGCACTATGTGAAACAGAAATCATCTATATATTTCATGCTATAAAAACTCATATAACAAATGTTTCTGCCTCTAATGTAATCCCTTAGTTTCTAGTCCACTAGAATTGGTGTCTTATCTTTGTGTAGTTCCTTGGGCACCAGAACCCTGAGAGTGTCCCAGTAGAGGCTACCTCTGCCTCCTCCTTCACAGAACAGAGCTTAATAGTGGGATCCCATTTGCTTTCTGTGCTACTCCTCACTTCTGCTTCCAGTCCTTTTGCAGTGGCTCTGTGCCTATCCCTTTTCTCCTTCAACATTTCTGTAACAAACATTCATCACACACACAGTCTTACAGTGGACATTTCAGAATGCTTGCTTGCATTCTGGTATATAGTAGGTATAGTGATATATAGTAGATACAGTCATTGTGGTCGGTATACTTTTGTAGTGAATACCTACTGCGTGGGGAGTGGCCTAGATCATCTAAAACCCACAGCACTTTTCTGATCGGTATGTTACAAAAGTTGATCACATTCAGACGGACTGACTGACAGACTCAACTCTCATCTCAAGATTGTCCTTTCTAGTCATCTAATGGTAAACCCAAAAGTTCCCCTAAAGGGACAAGGTATTAAGTGAGAGAAGCTGGAGTCTGATTCATTCTCAGTGAGCCAGTATTCCTTGAGAGCAATGCTAGTAATCTGCCTGTTGTATTAGGAATATGGGAGAGAGTGCTTGGAGTTACAGCAACACCCATCAGTCCAAGGTCTAGAGTTCACTGGACAGGACATGAATGGTACAGGGTGGCTAGGGAAAGTAGAGGCAGATATGGACAGCTTCTGGGGAAGTGGTATCAGGCTGTAAAGTTTCGGTCCTTCTTGGTGAGGCCTGGCTTTCTCTATTAACCCATTTTAAAACTTTATGCTCTCTCAGTGGCCAAGGTAATGACAGCATTTCCAGATCTCATCTTCGGCATGTCTGTAGTTAGCAAGGGATTGTATCTTAAGAATGTACCTTCTCTCTTCCTTAGACAGTGTGAGCTAGAAAGTGAGGATGAGTAGACATTAAGGTAGAACCAGCACCCCAGCTAAGTTTCTTTCCCCGTTTCCTTCCCTTCTTTCTCTTTTTCATCCTTGTAGTCTCCTTTCTAATTCTCTTTTCTTTTCTTCTTCCTCCTTCCCTCCCTCCCTCTCTCTCTCTTTCTTTCTTATCTTCTCTCAGCTCTTTAGTTTTTCCCTCCTTGCTTGGGCTCTTTTCTCTTTTACATCTCTTCCACATTTACTCTTTTCCCCTCCTCTCTGTACTCTTCTGTTTATCTTGCTTTCTCCACTTTGTAATTTCTCCTTCCTCTTTACCAGGTCTGACCTTCGTGAAGTTCCTTTGCCTCCTGTCAGTTTTCATTTCTTCCTCTTTCCTGCCCTTCAGCTTTGTCACTGCAGACACATTGCTTAAAAGGCCTGTGATTCCCTCATTTTCTAATTTAACATTTCGACCTCTTCCAAATTTAACACAGAGAGTGGTTTCCCCTTAGCTTCTCTTCATCTACTTTCATCTGTCCCCTTTCCTGATTGTTACTTGAAAATTTAGTATTTTAAAACTGTGTCAAATTAAAGCTTATTTAGAAGCAGCCAGGTGGCTAGGGATTAAAAATATATAGAGGACCATTTACAAAGAAAGTAATGCATGTGGTAATAATACAGAGTTAACTGTATATAAATATGTTGTAAACATGTTAAACTATTTTCTCTTCTTTGCTTCATCTCTTAGATTAGTGGAACAAGAATGCCTACACACAGCCGCAGGAATCCAGTTGCCATGGAAACCAAAAGCCTGCCTGCTCAGCAAGTTGAAAATGAAGGAGTGGCTCCAAATAAAAGAAAAATAACTTAAGGACTCTACCATGGAAAATGAAGGAGAAACAGTTATAACAATGTTCAGTTTGGAAATGTTTAGGGGGAAATATGCCTGAAAGATCAGTAGACAAGTTGAACTTTTTTTTTAGTGTCCTTGAGAGTTCTTAGAGTGCCTTGAAAAAATTTGTTGGCTGTGTGAGGGAATGTCTCAGCTAAAATGGAATAGTAACTATACTCTTAACTTCTGATGTTTGAGGAAAATCTAGATATGTTTTAACATGATCATGGCAGGGAACTATGTAGAAAAGAAAATTATTTTTATAGTAGACCTTTTCCAAAAATTGTAAATAGAATAATTTGCTTTTTTCCAAGAGCAATATTTATTGTTGTGTGTTATATTAATAACTTGAGTTATATTACCAGTCTGTTGAGAATGGTTCAAAACATTAGATCTTGCCACTCTCAAATACCATTTTGAGCAACATGTAAACCTTGTTTCTGACCCATTGTGACAGGGTTTTTTGTTGGTGGTGGGGCTTTTTGTTTGTTTGTTTTTTTGTTTTTAATCCTCACCTGAGGATACATTTATTGATTTTAGAGAGAGGGGTAGGGAGAGAGAGAAATATCGATGGGAAGCATCAATCCATTGCGCCCTGTACATGCCCCAGCCAGGGAGTGAACCCCAGCCTTTTGGTGCACAACTTGACGCTCCAGCCAACCGAGCTGCCTGTCCAGGACTGACAGTTCTGGTTGTTGTTGTTGTTCTACTACAGTTGTCCCAATTTTCCTTGGTTGTGATTGTTGCAGGTTGGTAAAGTCAATACCTTTAAAAACTTGGTGATATTCCCTGCAGAAACTAAAATTTAAAATAAAAAGCTTCCTGCCTCTGAAAAGTTAAGCCACCAATTTTTTAAAGATTTTATTTATTTATTTTTAGAGAGAGGGGAAAGGAGGGAGAAAGAAGGAGAGAAATGTCAGTGTGTGAGAGATACATCAGTGAATTGGTTGCCCCTCACATGCCCCCAACTGGGGACCCGGCCCACAACCCAGGCATGTGCCCTGACTGGGAGTAGAACCAGCGACCCTTGGGTTCACAGGCTGGTACTCAATCCACTGAGCCACACCAGCCAGGGCCAAGCTAACACATTTTTTGTTGGGCAATCGTTTGTTAAAACAACAACAACTTTTATTGTGTTACAGAGTTGGCGACGAATGCCCCTGTCTCTTGGCACAAATTCCAGTTGAGTACTGAAATACACTCCTGAAAGCAAAGAGATGATCATGTTTTCCAGAAAAATCTTTTTATTTCAGCTGATAAGGCTAATGTGTGGTAAAACATAAGCTATTTTTTCGTCATCTATACTGATTAATTTAAATTTTTCAGGACCACATCAATGAATTTGGAAAAAGTCACGATCAGCTGATGTTAATGTAGCTAACTTGGACTTAAGGAAGGGATGGACTTATTTAATTTTTTGTATTCATGTTGTTTAATGCCACTAAAGTTTTCAGAAATAGATGCGCCATTTATAAATCCAAGACAATATTAGCTTTGTTTTTGCAATTGTTATGTGTTTTATATTAATATAAGAAGTTTATATTAATATAAGAAATCTAGAATTCTCTAGAGTTCTAGAAATCTTTTCCAACTGTTAAAGGTGATAGTTGGGTATTTTTATCTTAAACTGCCAAGTTTTGTTTAGTTTAGATTTCTTCTTGGTCGTTTCTAAAATATGTTTAATTAATGAGTAACTACTAGTAAAGTTGTTTTATGTATTTTAATATATAATTTCCTCACGATCCTATTTCCTTTTTTAAACATTGAGCCTCCTTTAATGGACTGTTTTTTTTTTTTTTTGCTTTGTCACCTACTCCCATATCTCAGAAATACTTCAGCTGTGAATCTTTTGGCAGGGAACCTAGGGAGAGTCAGGGATTCCCTTGGAATTTGCTCTTTTTAAAAAACTAGATAATGATTTCTTCAGACTTCTAGATACCAGAAAGTCTTGACTTTTGTTTTTTTTAATACTACTTTTTACTTAGTAAAGTATGTGATCTTGCAAGTGATTATTTTGAAATTATTTTAGCCATATACTTGAGTAACTGATAATATATTAAGCTAGTCTTAGTTTTCTACTTGTGCTTAATTAAGCCTTTTATAAAACATATATTTGATCATTTCTTGTGTTCTTTTTCTTGATTTTTAGTTCTGAGAATGTGTAAGTAACAAAGTGACAGTGACAATATGAGCATTTTTTTTCTTTTAAAGAAAGAATAAGACAGACTCAGTGTTAGCGTTAGCAAGGATGTGATGGACCTGGCCCTCTTTTACCTCTAGGGTGAGGGTGTAATTCATACATACTTCTTGGAAAGTATTTAATTCAGTAAAACTTTGGGTATATCTGTGTCTCACACAGTCTAAAGTAGGTCCCCACTCATAACATTTTCTTTTACTATATATCACAGTACCTATTTGTTTACTTGACTCAGTGTGTTTCTTCTTGAATAGACTACGTGTCCTAAAAGGGCAGGGGCATGTTTGTTTGGTTCACCGTCATGTAACACACACCTCACACAAGCACCTGTCACATCGTTATTTAGTAGATATAACTTGGATATGTGAATAAATGAACAAGTAGATACAAGGATAGATTCTTTTTTTCCCAGAAGCTCGCATTCCAGTGAAGGACACAGCACTGATCTATGTAAATAAATGCTCCAGTAAAGTAAGATAAGAAAGCCGTTTAACCTTTCTTATTAGAAATGTAAGGCAGATTTTTCTAATATGAAGGTTGAGCTGAGTCTTTTAAAAATGAGGAGTTAGAAGGGAAGAATAAAAGATCTTCCACACAAAAAGAAGGCAGCAATATACAAAGGTTAAAGGTGGCCAGGTTGTAGGCTGTGGACATGGGAGATGAGAGAAAAAGACACAGGACAGGGACAGACATGCCATCCTGTGACATTTAAGTTTTGTCCTGTGCAAGGTGAGAACAGGTAATGAATTTTAATCAAAGTAAATAACATGATGAGATATGTGCTTGAAAAAACTCTTGCTGTCATTAGTTCAAAGAATGGAATGGAACTGGGAAAGACTGCAGAGAAGGAGAAGAGTTGGAAAGCATGAATACAGGGTAAAGGCCCTGAATGGACGCTGTAAGTGTAGGGTGGGCTCAGTGATAATAGAAAAAAAGTGACAGCTCGGTGAGATGGTTGGTAGGGAGAGCCAAGTATGGCTTCATGGTTCTCGTTTGGAGTGCTGGGTGAATGATGGTTTTAAACACTGAAAAGGTAGGAGAAGGCGTGCAGAATGGGAAGAATTTCTATTAAAATGTTCATTTCCTTTCACCACTTCTATTCCCTGAATTTGGGGTTCAAATATTCTGTTATGTACAGCTGCCTAATAAATTACCCCAAAACTCAGCTAGTTAAAACAAACATATATTATCTCAGAGTTTGTGTGTATCAGGAGTCCGGATGCAGCTTAGCTGGGTGCCTGTCACCCACGGCTTCTAATAAGGTTGCAGTCAAGCCGTTGGCTGAGGCTGAAGTCATTTGAAGGGTTGACAGGGGCGGGAGCATCTGCTGCCAAGGAGGCTCATTCTTGGTGGTGGTGGGAGGTGTCAGTCTCTCACTGGTTATTGACAGGAAGCTGCATCCTCGCTACCTGTACCTCTACACAGGTCTGCTTGAGCGGCTTGACACATAGCTGGCTTACCCCAGAGTGAGCAAGGAGGAAGCCACAGTATCTTACATCCTAGTCTTCAAGAGAAGACTGACTGCATCCATGCAGATTTGAGAATTGGTGTATCTTTGATATTTGAAGTCAGAAAAAGAACAACATATAGCAGAAATTAGTGGAATGACGAAAAGGCCATGAATGGAGCCCCAGGGAAAACTGCAGTAAAAGGAGAAGTTTCATTAAAGTGGCCAGTATGGGAGTCAGATTTATAAAACAGGAAATAAGTACAAGGTGAAGTGGAAACAATGGAATTCTTCATTGCCAATTGACCAGCAAAACTTGGAAATAATTTCACTATGTGGATCTTCTTTTGCAATCACAAAGGGAATTGACATATTTCTTCATTTCTGGTTGTACTTGGATTCTGGATTTGGACACTGCAAACTTTTTAGAGGTATAAGGAGGTGTGGGTGTAGGGTAGAGAGGGGAAAGAACACTTTTCTTTTCTAATATTTTTTAACATACTATATCTGAAATTTCTGATGGGCATACAGATAAAAATATTAAGCTGCTTGTTTGCTGTAGACACATGGTATTTTTTAAACCATATACCTTAGAATATTTGATATCAAGATTTGCTGAGTTTCTCATTGAGATGTTGAAATAAAGGGGATGCATTTAATTGTGACTTCCAGTCTTGCCATGTTCCTTTGGCTAATGTCCAAACTCCTTATGAAGGTATGTAAGGACAGATACACAGGCATCGACCCAGGGTTTGGGTCTGGTCTAAGCAAAGCTTCTGGAAAGAGCTGAGGCCCAGGTGAACATATCTAGGATGGGCCTCTAGATTTCTTCATCAAAAAGGAAGATTCTGCCAAGGGTTCGCCTTGGCATATATGTTTGCTTTCAGTATATAAGCTACTGTTAAATAATCAAGTAGCTACAAAAGGGGTTTTTTTTTTAATTGCTGTATATGCATGGTACAGCCTGGTGAATTCTCTGAGGTAATGGGGTGGGGGGCTAGGTGTAAATTAAATGCTGATTTGAAAGTCAGGAAACAAAGATTCTGTGGTTAGTGAGTTGAATTTCTCCTTCCCTTTTCTTGAGAATAAGCATTTCTTAGAGGGGAAAAAGGAAAAATACTTCCTATCCTGGGTTTTGCTTACCCCCCACATCCCCAAAAAACAGCACAGGAGGGTATGTGCATGTTAATCCCAAGAGTTGCACTGCAGTAAGGCAATGCAACACCTGCTTCAGCCCGGCTTTGGTACCACGTGAATTAGCCATTCCTGTCCCTGCATGCATGCTTCTGCACATAGAACTACATCTAGCTGGATTTGCTTTCACCTGTCAAAACTTTGCTTGTCCTCTATGGAAGTAATAATGCATTTTTGAGCATCTGTAGGGTGTAATACATTATACCAATCTCTTGGGATTTCAAGATAAATACGATTGGGTTCTGCCTTATGGGGATTTCCTAATCTAGTTGGGGAGATATATGTACATAATTAGCTATAATACAGGGCAGAATATTGAAATGGCACAGTAGTGCATAAGAATAAGAAAAAGGGATGCTTGCATAAGAGAAACTCATAGAAATAACTTTTAAGCTGTGTTTGAAAAACAATATTAACAGACAAAAAGGAATCAGAAATTGGAGCATAAGGGGAAATCATATGAAAAATGCTGATTTTAGGAAATAGCAAATGTACTCATGTAATAACCATTGGAGCAAAGGACAACAAATGGGAGGTGAAGAGTTTAGAGCTTGATAGTGGAAGGTATTCACAGTTACTCCCAGGTTGTTTGATTTCATTTTGAAAGCAATCAGGACGCATGTAAGGCTTTTTGAACAAGATGGCATCAATTTTAGGAAATTTACAATATTAAGGATTATTTAGAAAGGAGAAAGTCTTATAATAAGGAGACATTAACTATACAAATAGCAGGCAGATGGTAAAGATGTAAATTGGAAAGTCATTTAAAAGTTAGTAGCTATCAGAGTTAACTCTGCCCCCAAAATGAGTATCTGCCACATGTAACATTGAGTCTCAACTAGGTAACAGTAGGTGTTGGGAACACAAGCTGAATGGAAGATGTGGCACACGGAACAACGTGTGTGTGGAATTAGAAAGTGAGAGGTTTCGGAGACGGCTTTAGCCTGAGTGCTGCTGCTGGCAAATGGAAATGTCAGAGGAAGAATGTGGATGGGGTGAAAAGACAACCAGCAGTGTTCTCAACCAAAGGTCAGCTGTACAGTTAGGGTGATGTCCTATAGACTGAAAACAGGGTCTGGAACTTGGTGCAGAAAAATTGATAGTGAGATTTGGGAGCCCATTCACCAGATAATTGGGGCTAACTTTTTTCTTTTTTTTTCCCCTGTTCTTCCTTTCCCCTTCTGTTTGGGAGGGACTAGGAGTTTGGTTACATACCCAGTTAACTGAGCAAATAAATGCATTCAGAATAATGGGAAAGGGGAAGGCAAGAATAAACCCTGTGATGTTGGTTTGGAACTGGGAGTATCAGAATGAACTCATGGTACTTACCATATACACAGAGAAAGATGGGAGAAACACAGTTCTGCATGTGTACACATGCACACATATTTTCTAATTCTGCTGATAGGATCTAGAAACAATGATGTTCTAGTAGCAATAGCGCACCTAAATCCCGTTCTCCACTAAAAGAAGTAAGGGCTCCTTGGAGAAATGACTAATTCTTAAGACCAAGGCAGGGAAATTATGTCATCTTGTAACAAAGTAAGAAAGTACTCAAAGAATGATGGGTGAATGTCAAAAGAACATGGGAGCTAGCTTGAATGAAAATTTGAGTATCAAATAAAGATAATGGTGGATTGGAATCCTTTGAGTAAAAATAGTCATCCACAAGCCCACATTGGTATTAGTGAATAGAGAATGAAGAGAACATTCTGTCCTGCAGTAGAATTCCAACCCATAAGTCTAGAGGGAATGATGGAATTAGAAAAATCACCAATTTGCAGCCATTATAATTTAACTATTTAGCTAAGAATCATCAAAGATTCTAAATGCGGTGGGTGAAAATTTGATGGCAAATAGGAACATTTACGTAGTGTTAAAGAATCTCTCTACAAGATAGTTACTAATTTAGTAAGTAGAACATTAGTTAACTTGATGCTGAAGAACCCTAGCAGAAACTATTTTAACCAAGTGACTGAAGTTAATATTACCAGTAATGAGACAAATCAACAATGTGTGTTTCTTGGTACGCACCAAGAAGAGCACAGCGTGACTTTTGTGATGTATTCCTGCCATGAGGAAATACCAGAGAAATTCAAACCGAGGAATTGGTCTCTAAAGTAATCGGTTCGCAATCTTCAAAATGTCAGGGTTGTGAAAGACAGAAACCTGGCAGGAATGTTTGACTTAAAGATTAACCGAATGTGATTCATGCTCCTGGTCTGGATCCTAGTCCCCTGAAGGGCACTATCGGGACAATTGGTCGAACTGGAATGGAGTGTGTGGGTTATGTGACAGTAAGGTATGGATATTAATTTCCTGATTTGATGTGGTCATGTCAGAGCTGCCCTGTAATTAGGAAATAAACACTCAGGTCTACATTAATAATGGGGTATTGTGTCTGCAAGTTACTCTGAAATTGGAGGCCTTAGGCAGTGAAATGTTAACAGGAAGTCTTGAAAGGATGATACAGGAGCTGTGTATACTATTTCTGTAACTTTCATATAAATTTGAGATGATCTCAGAATAAACACTGTAGGAAGGGTATAATTCACAGTATCAGGTACTACAGGAGAGTTACAAAGGACAAAGGCTGGAGGGAAAAAAAGACTTGGATTTAAAAGTCAGACCTAAAGACAGAAGCGATGAAATGAAATGAGGAAATCAGATTCCTGTTTTTAGGGTCCAGGGCATAAAAGTTTCCTCACGACTCAAACCTCTAAAAGCCGTTTTTCCTTTGAATTCCTGCAATACTTACTAAAATAGCACAAATTCTGAATCTCAGATGTTATCCTAACTTATTCTCCTTTGAGGGTTGTATGTATATCCCTAAACAGATCGTACACTTCTCAAGGGCAATGGTTGTGTCTGTATACAGCTATGTATATAACCCAAATCCAATTCCAGGGCTAGGCGGCCTCCAGATGCTCCATCAATATGTATTAAATTGTGCTGATTCCTTGGAGCCCTCCATACACCAGCATATGTCTGGGTCGTCCCCTCCTAAATCTGAGGCCTCACCGCTCGCAAGGGCAGGTCTGTGGGCAGCTGGGAACCCTGCACAAGAAAGTGAATTTTTAAAACGTATCGTTTATTAAAGGCAACACCAGTCACCCCGAAAAAAAAGAATAAAGCTCTATATTTTGGATACATTTTACAACACTGCCTAACTCATTTAATGTTATGCTCATGTAAGAATAACAAAAAAATACAAATTTAGGTTTAATAATCCAGAAGTTAGTATCTTTCAAAATCTCTTAAAAACATTCTACCTGGCAACCAAAACTTTGAACAAGTCTGCGAGTCTTCCTGGAGCAGAAACAAAACAGAACAAAACAAAACCCCCTACCAAAGGGAAACCCGTGCCCAGTCGCCTGTGTTCCGAAAAGAAGCCCGTGTTACACAGCTCTGCGGGGGGTGCCTTCCGAGCGGGCAGACCCAGGCCATCCGAAGTTTAGCGAGCTGGGCTTTCGACAGACCTCTCCCCGACCTAGGCCCCTGAGCTAACTAAGGTTTTTTCGCTTTAGCCTCTTAGATGAGACTGCAAATAAATGAGGAGGACATTGTATCCAGGAACAGTCTTACTGTTGAACCCTCCCTGAAACATTTAAATTTGCTCCTAAAGTTTTCAACTGAAAATGAGAAATGAGTCCAGAAAAAAAAAATCAAGTAATTATCATCTCTTTAAGTGAATGAGAAAGTTCACATTTCTGCACAAATAAGAAATGGAATGTATTTTACAGAGTTTGTGTTTTGTTTTTAACTAGTTCATTATGGATCCCAACAATATGCAAAGAGCAGTTTTTCTAATGTGAAAAATAAATAATGAAATACATTTTGCAAGTACGGTGTCTGTCCTCTGCCCCACTGAGAGTGCTACACACTTTAGTTTCCCAAGTGCCACAGCGGGCAGCTGGAAGTAGTTTCTGTCCAATTCCAACATGCTGTCTCAAAGAATTGCACAATGAGTTCTTCCAAGTTCAGGAAGAGGGTGAAGAAAACTAAAATCACAGTGCATTAGGCTGGAAGGTCTCTCTCTGCATGTGTGCACACGTTGGGAGGCTAATAAAGTAGTAGGTCAGTCCCTAATTCAGTCTGGCTTTTTTTAATGCTACACTCTAGTGCCTGAAAACTTTTTCTCTTAAGGAGCAAGGACTGTGTAACTTAGTAAGTGCCTAAGGCCAAAATGTCATTTTGCATACCAGGGAGTGCTGAGGTTGCTGTCAGCCAGGCCTTCTGCCTCCCTGGAGCCCATGCTAGAGTTAATTCATATCCAGCAGTTGGGGACGTCTTCAGAATGTTAAAGACTGTCAGCTGCAACTTGAGGAGAAGTATGAGAGGTTGGGTCTTACAAGGAGCCAGCTCACAGCTGGAACTTGTTGAAAGAGGCTTTGGAGGTGGGGAGGTTTGGGGTGAGTACTGTGTAGGAGTCTGAACATCATTTGC